CCTCTCTGATGGGTGCAGCCCTGGGGCACAGGGCAAGGCCAACTTTCAGACTCACCTGAGCCTGCACCTGGCACCCCTGCTAGGGACACAGCCTACGCACCTGAACACTGACCGATCACTACTTTCCAGACACCCCTGAGTGATTCCTTGGCTGGACCCCTTGCTGCTGGGGAGCCTGAAATGAAACCCAGTGTCCCAGGAGGCTAAAATATCCCCTTGCAGACATTTCCTGCAGCCAGCAGCCCTGGGGAGGAGCCTGCGAGCTGTCCCCTGCTCCCTTGCAGAGGCCCCCTGGGTCCCCTGGGACAGTTTCTCTGCTCTTGGCTTTAGCACAGCCTCCCCAGGGCTATTTCTGGCCAGGAGTGTAATAGATTTCTGTCTCCTTTTGAGAGCCTTTTGTGTGCCTCAAACCCAGAGCCAAATGCTCCCTCTCCAAAAAAAAAAAAAAGCCCCTGTGTGAGGCGACTTGTGGGGCTGGAAGACCCCAGGGTGAGCTACTCGGGAGTGAGCTGGCCCGAGGTTGTCTTTCTGGTAATTGCCACCCCCTTCCCTGAGCCTCACCTCACAAAGCTCGCTTGTAGGACACCAATGAAGCATCTAATGCGTGGTATATATCGAGGCTGGGGCGCCTGCCCTGCGCTTCCTGGCCTGTGATTTATGAGGTGGGGCTGGGCTTGCCTCTCCCTCCCCACCTCCACCCTGCCTTGCCCAGCAGACGAGGAGCCTGGAATTCTCCTGGGGTGTGGGGGTGGGGGAGGCAGTCCAGGATCAGGCTCCCTGCCATGCTGCTCTAGGAACCCACTGTGTCTCTGCCTGCCTGCCAGAGGCTAAATTAAGCCATTATTTGCACCTTATGCATAAGGAAACTGAGGCACAGGTAGGTAGGTAGCTAGACTTGCGTCCCAATTAGGGGAGCTTGGGCCACCAAGAAACGGTCTTAGCTGGCGGCCAGTGCTTCCCACATCTCAACTCAGTGGGATCTCCTGGGAGGTATTTAAAAACGCTGATTTCCAGAATGTGCTCTCTAGAGACTCTGACACAGCCACGTTTGGGACCCCTTGTCATAGAGGGTCCACTTTAATAGGCATCAGAGTGTCATCACATACACAACTCCCAGCCCCGACATGAACCTAGACCCTACCTAGAATTTGTAGGGATGAGGTCCCGGGCATTCTGCTTTTGCCGAGGTCTGAGGAACTCACAAATATGAAAGCAGAAAGGGACTGTGACATTTGTATAGTCCAGATTCCCTGTTTTCTAGATGAGAAGATTGACAATGGGAGGGAGATGAGGTCTTAGCCAAGGTCACACATTGGGGTGGTTTGGCCTTTCCTGAGGAGGATGGGAGGAGAGAAGGGGTATGGGGCTCCTGGGCACCTGGAGGAGGTGGGATGGAGTGGAGGAAGAGTGTTGCCAATTTGAATGCAGATGGACTTGAATATTTGGCTGGAGCTGACACCTGACCCCGGGGGTCTGTCCCCTACCACTCAGGGTCAGAAAACCCTGCCCCACGTTCTCTACCTGGGATAGAAGTCCCTCTCTCTAGCACATATCAGGACTTGGCATCCTTAAGTTTGTTTTGAAGCCTGTGTCAGGCCTCTGGTCAGGGGGTCTGGGCTGTTCTAGAAGCCACAGCCACCCACCCTCAGGCTGCCCAGGCATGGGCCCAGCCAGCCTCTCCCATGACCCAGCTCAACAACCCCAGGGCCCCTGGGGTCCCCAGATCCTGCACCTGAATGCAGACTGCTTTGACAGTGATGGGATGTGTGTTTCTGTGAATTAGGAAATAGACGGAAGAGAATGATATGCAATTAATGAAAGATGGTGCTCGACTTAGAATCCCCGTTCCTTCCCCATTTCAGAACTTTGATCCAATGTGACCTGACAGAGGAACGCTGCACTCAGAGCCAGACATCCCAGGGCTCCCATCCCACTCTGGCACATGGCCGTGCAGCCTTGTGAGTGGCGCCCACCTCTCCAAGTCTAAGATAAGCTTCCTTTTCCGTGAAGTGTGGGCCATCATCTCTGCAGCTTGCTGGGAGATGCTGTAGGTGGACATTCCTAGCTCTCTGTGGGTGCTGGATAAATGACTGTGACATATGAGCCTGAAAGGGGACACAACACGTGTCTGCGTGGAGACCCTGCACACTGAACACATTCTGTTTTGTGTAGTCTATGTTAGTTAAGGGATGTGGCATCTTTTCAGTGTTGAGGAAAGAGGTGGAAATGTAGTCTGGTAAATAATTTTCAAGGAAAGGTATTTTTCCCAATTACATTCTCTGCCCTCAGATGCATGAAATGAAGGCAATGCACACAGAATTACCTTCTTGAGGGGTTCCCTCCTAATATTTGCTAAATCTAATGGACATCCAGGAAAATGCACAATCCTACATGGTTAGGTCAGTGAGTCACTGACCTACCATCAGACATCCATAAAACTCGCATGCAGGCCAAGAAGCTTCTAGCACCAGCATCTCAGAGCACCCCTTGTGCCCCTCCCAGTCACTAGCCCAACTCCCTCTGCAAGCATGACTACTATCCTGAGTTCTACCAGTCTGCTTTTTAACTTTATATTAAAAAGTCCCATAGTATACAGTGTTTTGTTTCTGACTTCTTTCCTTTTATGCATGTCAGTGGCTTTAATTTGCTTTTCCCTAATCAGTAATGAGGTGGAGCCTCCTTACATATACTTATTCGCCATTTGAACATTCTCTTTGTGAAGTACCTATTCAAATCTTTTACCCGGGTGTCTATTGGGCTCTCTTCTTACTGATTTGTAGAAGCTCTTTACATATGATGGATATTTAGGGCCTTTCTGAAGGCTATCCACCTCTCACTCAAACATCTCACCCTGAGTACTTTGGGAGCTCTGGTCCTGATGGAAACCCACTTGGTGTGAGCATTCAAGAGACTCACTCCTCCCCAGCTCTCAATGGCAGCTTAACACTGTCTTCTTCTTTAGCATGCAGGGTGGCTTGTCTGCATTTAGAGACATTGGAGAACTTTGTCTCTGGCCTCCTCATCTTCACCTCCCTCTGTGCCTCTTTTTCATTTTCTGATAACCCCCAACCTAGGTTCTGTTCCCATGGGCCTTTGCCCAGCTGGGAAAAATCAAACCACTTTTAAGGTGTATGTTGACCAAGTGGCTCCATTCCCTGTGGTCAATGGATAGAGGGGAGTCTTGGACGGGTGGAATGGAAGTTGGACCTCACCACCTGTCACTGTGTCTGGAATTCCCTTATTAAAGCTTTAATCCTCAATGATGGCAGCTATGTACAGCAGGAGGGAACTATTTCACTATTTTAACTGCAGGTTTAGGTGCCTCAGTACATACCAGCTGTGCTCATTGCTGAGCCATGATCAGGTCTGCAGTGCCAGGCTTATTCTCATCATAGCCTCACCCTTGTTTGGTCCCAGAAGGAACAGCTCTGTTGACTCCTCTGGCTCACTTCCATCCCATAATACTACCCTTGAGATCCTTAAACCTGATGCCAATCACACATTCCTATTCACAAGTCAGTAAGCTCACGCACAGCTCCCAGTTGGCAAAGCACCATCAGAGAGCATTTTGGAGGTCAGAAGGCCTTCAGGAAATAGAGCTTTATTGGTAGAATTGCAGGCATAATGATTAGCTGGTTGAGGGAGATGCTTTGCAACAGGGGTTCAAACTTAGGGAATCCAGCTGGTTTAGTGAACCAGTGAAAGGGTGACCTCCATGCTGTTCTTGGGCATCTCTTCCAAGGCTGGATATACACTACTCTCTGCTGCCTAATCATTCCAGAGCAGGAACCCAAAAGGTCTTGTGGAAGTTATTGCCTTGACATTTTGACTGAGCCATTTTCCCTCCAGGTGGGTGACCCACAGCCTGTGTGTGTTGGGCAAAGACCAAAAATAACATTCATTGATTTTAAAGTCATGTCCCCCAAAGCGTTTCCTTCTACACATCCAAGTTCTGAAAGGATATTTTGTAAAGGTTAGGCATCTCCTCCAGGAAAGGCATTTCTGTTGTCTTATTTGAGCAAAGAATGTACGCAGAGCTTCTAATTGCCCTGCCAGCCTGAGCAGAAGGAAGATTTCATCTACGAGGTCAATATGAGCGTAAAACTTGAAACACTTTTAAATACTTTTTTCTTTTTCTTTCTTTTTTTAAATAAGATACATACTCAAGAGGAAAAATCCAAATAGTACAGATGATCTGAATACTCAGCCTAAATGTTCAGCACTTTATGGTGAGAACAAGCACATTACCAGCACCATTTCCATGGTGTGTCAGTCAGCATGAGCTAAGTTATGCTGTGGTAACAAGTAACCCCCCAAATCTCAGTGGCTTGCAACCACAAAGATTTCTTCCTTGATCAAGTAACTTGTCAAATTACTCTGTCCCATGTGTGCTGCACTCCAGGACCCAGGCTATGGGAGCAGCTCCCATCTGGGAGGCTGCTGTCTCATGATGAAAAGAAAACAAGAACTCAGTGGCACCAGGCAATGACTCCTAAAGCTTCAACCCAGACAGGACGCACATCATTTCTTCTCACATTTCACTGGCCAGAGCCAGTCACATAGCCAAGCCAGTAGCCAATGCAGGGAAAGTGAATATTTTAATCAATTGTATGATCTTCCACTACGGGCAAAGGTCAGAATGATCTTCTGCCTCCACAGAGCCTTTATTCCCACCAACCCCAGAACACCTTCGCCATATGGGATGATTTGTCTGAAAACTCTTTATTCTGTAGATTCTTGGCTTGGCATGTGCTCTGTCCCCGGCATGTCCTAATGTGCATTCTGCAGAATACTCTTTTCCCTGATGTCAGCCGATATCTGGAAAGTGCAAGGAAGGGTGTGTGTAGAAACTGCCCAAGCTGGATTCCGCACCAGGTTCACTGTTGACTCGTCCTTGGGTGGGGCGGTGAGGAGTGTGTGACTGCTGCATCACTCAGCAACTCACAGGGCTGGGGTACCATGGTCAGGGCCACACTCTCGAACCTTGTACCTACACTCACCGTATGGTGAGGAAGTAATCCCGCTGCTCTTTCTGTCTGCAAACATCTGGGGGCTGGTGCTCACTCACCTCTGTGTCCCCATGATCCAGCCCAGTGCCCGACACATAGTAGATGCTCATGAAATGTTGTGCAACAGAGTTCAAATACATTCCTCGTCTTGAAGGACCCCCTAATGATCTCAAGGCTTTAGCTGCCTATGTCAGCTTTGTAGGGTTCAATTCAGATAAAGCACAGGGAAGCAGCGTGAGCTTTTGCATTCCTTTGATGTCCACGATGGGAACTATCAGCACGGGTTTATAGATTAACAGCTTTACTGTGGCTGCAGAGGAAATAGAAAATTAAGGCTTATGTTTGTTACAAAATGGAATTGGTTCCCTTTATGCCTCTCAGTGGAAGAAAGAAACATTTCCATCATCTCAATTTATAAAAAGCAATCTTAAGGCCAAGAAGAGATAAGTGGAGTAATTTCAGAAACCCTCAATTTGGGCAGTTTCTTCAATCCCACTAGTCTGAAATCGCTGCACATGAACTTTTCCTCAAGTGTTGCATTTCCTGGGCTGGCTGTTCCTCTGAGAGATAACCAAGCTGGGGCCTTGGGGGCTGGGACAGGGAAGAGAAGGATGGAACCAGAGGGTAGTGGCAACTTGGAAGGCAGGCTACGAGTCCTCACTTCATCTCCTAGGCCAATGGCTCTTGAACTTCTGTGTGTTTCAGGATTATGTGGCACTGTGTGGAAAACACAACTGCCTAGACCCCCCCCCCCCCCCCCCCCCCCCCCC